AATATAAATTGATAAAAATAACATCGTAAATTTATGGGGGGTATTTTGGTTAATTTATATTTTAGAGAATTATTTTTTTCATATTTTTATTAGGTGCGCCTCACTAAGATGTACACATGTTTCAAATTTCAAATAATTTAGATTTGTAGAAAAAAAATGAAAAATAAAACATTATTAGATAATTGTGATGTGATGAAATTTGGATGGTGATTAGGATAAACGAAATCTTTCATGTAAAATTGAATCTATTTGCATTTTTGGTATTACGTTGGATGAATGAAAAAATCTTATTTAATTATAATTTTTTTTTAAAATTTATCAATGAACTACATAGTGGAGAAGTATTACATGCAGTTTAGTTTTGAGTTTTTCCATTTTCTGACATCATATTTGAAATTCATATTGAAAATATTAAATGCAGTTTCAAGCTTTCCCATCCCCACATTTTATGGTTTTCAGCCTTCCACCTACCAATTTTCGCATGCATTCTAGAATCTAGGAAGTCAGTAGCCAGGGTGATTCCTCCCAGAGACACTGCAAAGTTATCAAACGGAGTTCTGTGGTGTGACTTGCTTTGATCGTTTAAATAGCAAGGGTGATTCCCAGGGACCCTGCAAAGTTATCAAACGGAGTATGGTGGTGTGACTTGCTTTGATCGTTTAAGGCTGACACCTTCGGCAAACTACCTTTCAGAATTAGGGTTTCACTGGTGGAAAGGCGCGAGGAAGATCAATGAGCTCTGGTCACTAACCCTAAAAACTGGTAATCTTTTCTTTGCTCGGATCCTCACCGTAGGTCTTTCAATGTAATGGATGTTTCTTACAGGTCTGTTTCGCATAAGATTTGAAGTTCAATTATCATAAAAGATTAGTGTTTTTGCTGTGAAGAATTTACCATTTTTGAAGGCGGAATTGTTATTTTTTTTGTAGGAGTTGATATGTAGGGCACAGTTTGAGGGATTCTGAAATCAGTTTTTGTTAGATTGGAATCAGGCTTCTCTGGTGAATGAATGGGAAGGGATTTTTTTCTCATTTCTTGAGTAATTAACTAAGTGGGTTTTTCTGAGAATGAATGAGAACTAGTGTCATGCTTCGTTTTAATTTGAGTTCTGCAAAATTTTAGAATATTGGGATTTATTCGATGCTGAGGTTAACCCTGTGATGTTAAATCAGGTCCGTTTATGTAATCGTCTCATTACCAGGTTTATGTGTTTATATAAGGCTACAATCCGGCTCTTAGAAGCTAGGGTTTTTCCAGTGTGGGTAGTTCAAAGCAACTCATGCTCTTGTTCAGGAAACCCTAAAAAATGGTAAGATGTCCTCATGTGCTTAAAGCTTGTGCTTTTACATGGAATTTTATGGTGAATAATTTTGTTGTTACTTTCATTTTATGACCAGTAATATGTTAGTTTGTGTTGCTTTTGCTTTACCATGTACTACGCTAGGTATTCTGGACTAATAAATCTATCATTAGTAACTTTGTGGCCGATATAGCTTGAATTTGTATAGTTATTAGACAATATAGTCTTTATCTCTTTCACAGTTAAGATTAGGGTTTATTACACGTTGAATGAGTGGCACTAGGGTTTCTTCTATTGACTGAATCAATGTTGTTAGGACTGGACTGGTGAGCACGAGTTTGATTGGACTGTCCGAATTGGACCAGTCTAAGAAATTAAATAATTGATAAAAAGAGTAAAATAAGAAAAATTGGAAAAATAGAAAAAAATATGGAAAACTCAAAAAAATGAAAAATTCAAAAAATTCTAAAAACAAATATAACTCTTTAAGTAATAAAGAAATGCGGATTAATAATACAATAACTCAAATTTGTAAAGAATACTTGAAACAAAAAATTATCATATAATATTACAAAATTAGTCGTGAACCACAATCATATGTAGGGCGAAGTAAGTAACATCACCGCATGTCCACAATCTGCAACTCATAGGCCTCAAAATCTTAGCAACTCATAGGCCTCAAAATCTCGTTAGAATTAGAATATTACAAAACTCAAGTGATATAATAACAATGTAAAAAACAATTAAGTTTTCTTCATTAATTTCATTTCCATCTCCTTGCTTATCATTGGGCTCCTCAACATTGACCTTTGAATCATCATCATTATCATAGGTCAACAATGAAGAGCCCAATGATAAGCAAGGAGATGGAAATGAAGTTGATGAAAAAGTCAATGTTATGTGGAATTGAGATGGTTGACTGTATTAAGAAAGTGGCAACAAAAGTTATAGGAAAAACTAGAGGGAAAAAAAAATTCCGATTAGGAAACTTGCTGGTGAAGTGATGAGGTTCATAAAGCCATTAGCGAAAACTGATTCATGTTATGAAACTTGGCAATGTAATAGAAATGATCAAAATTTATAATGATATAAAAATGGCAAGAAAAATATTAAACAAATAGTAAGGCTAAACTTAAGGCATATGATAATCTATACAGTAAACTGGGAACAAGAAAAGGTAAAAAAAAGTCTTTAAAACAACAAAAATGAGAGAGAAAAAATGTAGGGATCTAGACCATATTAAATGCATTAAGAGTGAGGATTAATTTTTAAATGATGAACACATTGGGAACACAGTGGTAGAAGGGACCGTTGGCATAAATGAGGGTAGTGGCCATCGATACATTCGTATGATTAGGATATCAAAAGTGAAAGAAGCCTTGCAGATGATGAAGATAGGAAAGGCTTTAGTATCAAATGGTATCTCAAGAGAGGTTCGGAAGTGCATGGGGGAGATCGGCATTGACTGACTGACCAAGTTGTTCATCAAAGTCTTGAGAACAAAGAAAATGATAGCTGAATGGAGGAAAACCATTGTGATACCTGTTTCAAGAGCAAAGGAGACATACAAAATGGTGCGAACTATCGAGGGGTCAACTTATGAGCCACTCTATGAAGTTGAAGGAGAGAGTGATTGAGCAATGACTAAGGAATGAAACAAGTGTATCAGAAAACCATTTCGACTTTATGTCAGGGAGGTCAATAATTGAGGCTATTTTCCTACTTAGACAACTTATTGAGAAGTTTAGGGCGAAGGGAAAAGACGTGTACAATCTACATGGTCTTTATTGATATAGAGAAAGCTTATGAAAGAGTACTATGAGGTTTACTTTGGTGAGTGTTGGAAAAGAATGGAGTTTCCAGATACTATATCGACTTGGTAAGAGATATATATGAGGGAATGCTAACTAGTGTGTAGGCAAGTAGTGGAGAGACGAGTAAGTTTTCAGTGACAATAGGTCTACATCAGGGGTTAGCTTTGAGTCCATGCCTCTTTGTCTTAGTTTTGGCTGACTGAATTAGGTACCTACAAGATGAGGTACTGTGGTGTATGTTGTTCGTGGAAGACATAATTTTGATTGATGAGACCCGAAACGTCAACACAAAGTTCGAACTTTGAAGGGATGCTCTAAGATTTGAAGGTGTTAAAATTAGCCGTTGCATGGAATGCTAATTTAATAATAATTGGAGAAGAGATGAGAAATTAGTTAAAATTGATGGCTAAGAAATACCAAAAAGAGCGCATTTTTTATATCTTGGATCAATAATCCAAAAAAATGGAGACATTGAGGATAGATGTTGCACATAGAATTAGAGCTGGGTAAGGAAGTGGAGATGTACGACTGGAGTTTTATGTGATCGCTGCATACCAATGAAGCTGAAGAGAAAGTTCTATAGGACAGTTGTGAGACCATATTTGCTTTATGGGGCAGATTGTTGGGCGGTCAAGAAACAACATACTCATAGGATGAGTGTAGTTAAGACGAAGATGTTGAGTTGGATGAGTGGCAAGACAAGAAGGTATATATTTCGAAATGGATGCATTACAGAGAATTTAGGTGTGGCTCCAATAGGTGATAAGATGAGAGAAAGTAGACTTAGGTGGGTTGGGCATGCGCAGTGTAGGCCCAGTATGGTAGCTGTTAGGAGGTGCGAGTTAGTTTAATTGGAAAGCTCAAAGTGGGCAAGGGGTAGGCTCAAAAGGATATGGTTGGAAGCAGTAAGATAAAATATGGGGACTTATGACCTCGCTGAAGGTATGGTCCTTGATAGAGCAGAATGACAAACCGGGCTTTGTACAGCCGATCCCAAAAGTTTGGAAAAGGCTCTGATGATGATGATGATTATTATTATTTTTATTTTGGGGAAAATTACAAAAAACACTCTAAAATGGACTATCTATGCAACTTACCCCCACCCCAATCTTTTCTCTCACTTTTTTCCCCCAAACAACCTTTCCTCGCAAATAACCCTCCCAACCTAAAAGTAGCATGAAATAAGACTAAACTACCCTTGTTTGTTTTCTCACGGTCTTCTCTCTCCTGTTTTCACACGCGCTTCAGCAGTACAAACACGCGCTCCGGCATTCTGAATGTGCGCTTTGAAAATGTAGGTCTGAGCCACAGTGCTCCGACATTATGAGAACTCTCTCCGGTAGTGCAAAGATGCACTCCGGCAATGAAGTCTCTGGAGCCATAGCGCTCCGGCAATGGAGGATCGCGCTTTGGCAGTATAAACAAGCACTTCGGCATTCTGAATGTGCGCTCCAGCAATGCAGGTCTGAGCCACAGCGATCCGGCATTATGAGATTGCGATCTGACATTATGAGAACGCGTTCCGACAGTGCAAAGGCGCGCTCCGGCAGTACGCTTCTTGGGATCCGTGAATTGATTTGGTTTGTACACGAAGGGCATTTCCGTCCAAAAAAATAACAACTTTTTACCTTGGGAGGTTTTCACGAGGAAAGGTTGTTTTGGGGAAAAAAGTGAGAGAAAAGATTGGTTGGGGGTAAGTTGCATAGATAGTCCATTTTAGGGTGTTTTTTGTAATTTTCCATTTATTATATCAGTTAGGTTTTGTATCAGTCTAATAGTAAGAAGCTTTTAAGGCTTAAAAGTTACAAATTGTGGACTTGTGGTGATGTACTTACTTTGTCTCTACATATGATTGTGGTTCATGATTAATTTTTAATATTATATGAGGATTTTTTTTGTCTTCTTTACAAATTTAAGTTATTGTATTCTTAATGAGTATTTCTTTATTGCTTGAGAAGTTATATTTGTTTCTAATAATTATTTATTTATTTTTAAGATTTTCCTTTTTTCCATATTTTCTCTATTTTCCCCAATTTTTCGTATTTTACTAGTTTTATCAACTATTTAATTTCTTATACTGGACCAACCGGTAAACCGGTCCAGTTCAGCCGGCCCAACTGAACCTGTGCCTTCACTGGTTCGGTCACTGGTTTGATCCTGAGAACATTGATAATGACAATTTTATAGTAGATGTAAGAACCAGTATTTTCAACACTTAATTTTTCTTTCCCTTTCCTTCATCTATATTATTCCTTTCTTCTTCTTAGAGTGCATTGTATATTATATTATGATAAATGTTAAGAACCAATATTTTCAGGCTGTGCTGACAAAGGCCACATTTCTAATGTACTCTAGGGATTCTCTGTGGCTCTTGTTGTTTACACAGATCTATCAATTATACTTCTTTCACCCCAGTGGTTTATTGCCCAACCTGCCAAAATGGTTGAACCATTGATTGCCACATAAACAACTGGTTGCATTGAACTCTTTTTATAGCTAGGTTATCGGTGTTTTGAGCCCCTTGCCTTTAAATAAATGACTAAATGATACGTAGTCATTAAAATGCTGAAGATCACAATAAACAAAAGCAGTCTCCCTTACATGAAACTAGAAAATGGTCACCAGAAACCATCCGTGGGGAGACATTGACAGTGGCTCCCATATAGTAGTCTCCTCATTTGCTTCACTAGCTAGTAGTAAATCTGCCGCCTGAATCCTGATTAATTGCCTGAAAATGTGAGAGAATAACTGGTTGAAGCGCATTACACTCTTCCATTATTGGACCATCCTTCTAAGCTCCAAGCCAGGTGCTTGCGTTTTATGAAGCCAAATGGTAACTGTGAGGAGCTAGATTCAATCCATTAATGAGAAAAGCATATTCTTTTAGCTAATAGGTGCCTAACTGGTATTGCTTGCAATTCCCATAATTGTATGAACCCTCCATGGATTCCCAAAGGCTGTAAACATGTAACCTTTTTTTTTTTTCCCTGAAATAAGAATGTCTGAATGATATCCAGCACTTTGTCTTTCCATTTACAAATGTTTCGTCCGTGATCAAGTTGGATTCATATCACCTCTGTTTATTCTTCATCTTACATACTAAAGGCCAATGTTTTAAAGACTGACATTCCTAAACTTTTCTCGAGGGAAAGAAGTTAAATACCATTATGCAGATAACTTATGTTTCGGGGTTGTAGGGTTTTGGCTTTATGGGTGAGTGTTATTAATTTTAATCTTTTTGATCCATGTCCTAAGTTGAATATGGCTTCCAAATGGTCATGTATATTCATGATTTGATTAAAAAATATATTTAATCAATGATGTCTAACCAGTTGGTTTATTTCCTAGGGTTGCTTGGTAGTTTCTTCCTGTAATCTGTAAATTTGACCATCAATAAAATATTTGATCAGTCCATCATGACATACACTTACATGTATACATTCAAAACAATCTTTTGAATTGAATGAGAAATTCTGCATAGACTTGAGCTCTGTGTATGTGTACTAGCGCACACGTGGGTCTTCCTCTAAGATAGAAAAGTGATCCATAGTAGGAAAAAGTGATTGCAGTGTTTGAATTTCTTTAACCATTTGTTAAGACTGTAAAAGAATGTTCTACAGTTTAACATGGTACACTTCTTCATTCTAGATGTTATAGAGCTAGATAAAAAGTTAAGGATATTATTAAGGTCTGTTCTTACTAAAAAACAGTTACAGAAGATTTATTTCAAAATCTTGTGAAACTAGTGCAAGTGCAAGGAGTTGTAAAAGTTGTTATCTTTGATATCAAATTTTCCGTTTGATACGTAATATAGCAGTAGTCGATATGACGTATGGATACTTAGTTGCATTTATTTTCTCCAAAAAAGGAAAACACTTGTATGTTTATCTAGTTGGTTTGCAAGAGTTAGCTAAGTGGCCTCAAGGGTTCTAAACTGCAATAGTGAGAAGAGTGGAAATGACACTGAAGTTTCTAATTTGGCTTTTGGTCTAAACTGAAGCACAAAGGAAATATGAGGGCCTGGCTCCCCTCTATGGAGGGAGGGAGGGAAGGAATAAAATCGTAGAAGAAGTTAATATCCCCATAATTGTTCTATTTATATGGTTCTGTTATTGTCTTCAATGAATTTTTTTTATAGTATTTGTAGCTCTTGTGGTTAGGCTAAAGCTCTCCCGAACTCTATTAGCATGTGTATGAGTGCACGTGTGTGATCTTTTTTGGAGAGGGGAAACACACAAATGCACATGCACAGGGACACAAATGAAATTCATATTTGAGTGTATCCATTTATGTGCAGGCAAAGGTTCAAGGTAACTAAATAGGAAGGCCAATATGGTGAATGCCATTAAGGGCCTCTTCATCTCATGGTGAGGAAAATCGATCAAGCATTTCCATGTGATCTCTTTATATCTGTACTCTTTTAACAATGAGCATATGTACTTCTCTTCTTATATGTTATTTCAATATAGGTAATTAGATGGATGGATAGGTAGTTCTATATAAATGGGTGGGTTTTGTTAACCTTTTCTATTTAGAGTGGAAGTTTTGTGAACTGTTACCAGAAGTTTTTAAACCCAAAATGCTCTTTGCTCTTTGTATTAGTCATTTGCATTTATGGCCAGTGCGATTGTGCCATTTATTGAGGGGCTATAAAAAAAAAAGTACTATAAAAGCTGAAATTCAGCTATGTGAAGGCATGCCATTCTTTCTTACAGTTGCATGTGAATACTTGTGTTTTCAGTCATTGCTCTTCAAATTGTGTTGCAAATTTTCTATGAAGTCTTATATACTTTCACCCTTCATTGAGACGCTTCTATTCTTATAGAAAAACAAAGACTTCTATTTCGTTATAGTGGTCAGGTATCACAGAGCTTTTATGTATGTTTATGTAATTTGTTTCTGGTGTTGTTTTGTAGTGATGTTCCAATGGCTCAATTTATTGTGAGTCTAAATGCATCATTACCCGCTTCTCAGAAATTTATCATTCACATGTTGTACAACTCACACTTGTTTGTGCAAGCTCATGCTGGTGAAATGATTCGGAATAAAATCTCAGAGTTTAGAGATCTGAATTCATATGAGAAGCCTGCATGATTCGGTTCCAGGGGTGTTTTTTTATACGTGTTTTTGTTATGTCCATTGTAATATTAACTCAGATGCTTGCCTATTGCAGTTTGGTAAAGTTGAGTTGTGTGTGAATTAGTGAAGAATGAATTACAGGGTCTTATGATCATTTTTCTTTCTCGCATGAGCTTTTACAATTTTTTTTTTCATTTCATCTCTCTCTCTCTCTCTCCGTGTGGATTTATTCGGTGCAGCATACAGCTCTTTTGTATTGTGAACTCTCATCTCTTCAATAATAATTTTATTTTAGATAAAAATTTGTATGAGATGTCAAATGCACACTTTAAAAAATCATTTAGAATAGTGTTTAGATGTTGGAAAACCTTATGATTTGATTATCTAGACTTCAAGATGTATGGGTATGAAGAGAAAAAAAGATTTTCAAATTTTAATAATAGTATATATTGTAATGAGTAATGATTCTATAAGACCCTCACCCACCTAAAGGATCTCTATTAAAGTTGGCACTGATCTCCAAAAAAGTTATCACATGGGTGTGAGATTTGATTTTTCTATAGATTCGTGTCAAATTTAATGGTGATCTTTTGGGGGTCTTACATATGGGTGGGGGAGGGTCCTATAAGATCATTTCTCGTTTGTAATATATGGGGGAGGGTCTTATAGGATCATTTTTCGTTTGTAATATATTATTTGGATGGTCTATTTTTAGGATTTTCAAATGTTTACCTGTATGTTTGGCATTTTTAGAATTCTAAATTTTATAAATTAGGGATCAAAATAGATATTCAAGGCATTATAAGGTCTCCAACACAGGAAGTACATCCGACAAAATTTGGAGGTACGTCACTTCTACAGTCCAAGAAAGATGCCTTATAGAAATGTCCTTTTTTTTGTTTTTGTTTTTTTGCATTGCAAGGCGTGAATCTGTGCTTAAACCCATATGCCTGTTGTACCCAATCGGATATTAAATGTGGTACCACATTACAGTAAAATCAATGACACCTATAAATGGTTGGTGTACCATATGTCAGTAAGCACTAACAACTCATACTTGTAAAATCAAATTGACGTCGAGCCTTAGTGGCGGACATCATTGGTTTGGGTGAGTGAGGCCAACGGTTGGAATCCTTGAAGTTTTTTCAAAGGTTTTGTAATGGCATACACATGGATGCTTAATAGTTAATAGACGAGCATCCTTTAATGGTTTAGATTGAAAAAAACTGAATTTTATTTTTTTTTTAATTTATTATTTAAAGATGATATTAATTTGAAATTAGGATTTTTTTCTTCAGTTTTTTTAAGTAGAATTGAATTAAAATAATAAAAAATATTTTGAATAAATATTGATCAAAATAAATTTAGGCTTAGTTTGGTTTTTTAATTTAAAATAATTTTAATTATTTTCATTTGGTTTGCCTTTATAAAAATACTTCAGAATTCAAATAAATGTTTTATTTAAATAGAAGATAAAATATGAAATTAATTTTTGGCATTAGATATGGCCTTGTGAAATCTCGACCATTAGATAGGTTTGTGCACCCTTCTACCCGTCCACATGATGTAGACCGGATACTTTTAGTGAGGGCCCTAACGCGTGTAGATCATTGTCCAAAGTCATAAGCTTCTCTATGCTCTTTCTCACTGCCATCCAATTCCCACTCTCTCTCACATGGATTAGCGTTCATGAATCTTTGCTCTCTCTTGTGAGCTTACATTCTACATGTGGAATAAATCTCTTCTCTTATCGCGACTGATCGAATAGAGACAAATGCAGAGGTTCTAAGAAAAGTGAGAAAAGCAGCAAGAAGAGCAAGGAGTATGGTTGAGAACCTCTTCTTTAGAAAGGAGAATAGCTCTGGTAAAAACACAGTTAATGACTTCACAGAGGAAGAGTCGAGATGATCGGTTTGTGATAGAAAGGTTCGGTTCATGGACAAAGATGACACCAATTTGTGCCATACAAATATGCAGAACTTTTCATGGCATGACAGTGTGATCAGAGAACCAAATTGAGTTCGATTCTCTTATGAGAGAGTTGTTTGGTTATGTAAGACCATGAAGAGTGGGAGAAGATTGAACAGTTTGGCATGACTACAGATTACTCGTGGCACCTCAGCATCATGAATAAAGAAGTTGGCATGCAAATATTTTTGAGTGTTTGTTAGGCATCAAAGATGAAAACTGTGTGAGCTTCCATGGAAGCAATGGCTCTGGTTTGTTAGGTGGTAGTAGAATCAGGGGAGAAGAGGCCAGATAAATGGAAAGCTTATGGGTAGGTTTGGGAACAAAATTAGAGCCTTGATCACAAAATGTGCATCTTGGATGAAACTTGGAATAATCTATGTTAAAAAGGCCTGTATTTTGGTGCAGATTTGAGCCTCAGGAAGCATTCTAAGTGTCTTTGGGCTCTTCTAGACCCAGAGTTTGAGGAATACTTATTTTGACGCCAAAATTGGAGAGGGAAAGAAAGAGATTTAGTGAGAGCAAATCTAACAGGCTTTTGTTGATGATGTTGTGAAAGCTTATGAGAAGCTTAGCGATGAAAGGAAATGAGATTGTTGGGATTGCTTGTTCTCGAACCATCAAAGTTCTTCTTCTTCATCTTCATACACGTGAACGGAAGGCCAAGCTCGAAGCCATGGAGACCGGTTACTTCAATGAAGATCAGATTTCTAGTCGTGAAACTGGGAACTGATGGGCGACTATGAAGTAGAGGATGAAGAAGATGAAGAGGGAGAAACAAAGAATTGGGGTGAGGATGATGAAGAGGTTGAGGAACAGGTAGAGACTAAAGAATCAAGGTAATTATGAAGATGTGGAGGATGAAGACAAAGTGGTTGAAGCCGAAAAAGTGGAATTGGGAATCAGAGAGGGAAGCTAGGCCTGAGGAGAGAAAGAGCTGTTGGAAAGAAGACTTTGAGAAGGCAGTGAGGAGCCCAGAAGCCATGGACGACTGGTTAAGAGGATTGTGGAGGCTTCTACTAAGCTTAGAAGAAGCAAATGAGAGCTAGGAGTCAGATGAAGAAGGAAACAAAGGAGCTTGATTAAGAAAAGGAGAGGATAAAACCCGAGCCTGCTAGAGAGGATAGGGAGCATATAGGCTATGATACAAGGAGGATAAGGAAGATAAAGGTACCACCTGACCTGTTTCTTAGATCAGAGAATCTAGGTGAATGTTTAATTAGAGTTTTCAATTAGGAAAACAGATTTGGAGCTTTGAGATTTTGTGGGGCTCTTTCTGGTTTGCTTTAGGAGCAAGTGAACTATCAAAGCTTACATCTTTGATCCAGCATTGATTTGAGTTGGAAGAGTTGAAGAAGAGTAAGAATATGTTGGATTTTTTTTCTCTCTGTCTTGGTTTAATTTGATCATTCACATAAACCATTATAACTTTTATATCATGCACTGTGGTTTGAAATTTCAGTTATAAAAGATTGAAGGGGCCTGCTAGGAAACTCTCTGGAGAATATTTATTGTATTTTGCATTACACAAATCATTAGACATGCATTATAATGATGGGCAGGTTGGTACTTACTAGTCATAATATGGGTCATTAGTTATCAGTGATTAAAACCTCACCAGTCTAACTAGGGAATCACCTGAGTTGGATTTGATCAGGATCCTGGCAATTTGAAAAGCATGAAAATCAGGTGTCTCACAATCTTAGGATCCCATGTTATTTTCGGCAAAAATTGGACAACTCTGTGATGGATCTAGACTTGCGAGCATGGCAAGTTGGAGCCTGAATACAACTTTCTAAACACTGGTCTATGTAAGTTGGGAAAATTCGGTTAAGGAGAATGAAGTTCACACCCAAGTGACCATGGGAGCATCCGGGCAATTTCATTGTTAGAAATTTGAGGTTCAAATTACCAGTTATACACTTCTTTTGTTTTGACACTTGCGGTTTCTAATTCCAGAATTTGGGAAGCCAGAAAAAATAAAAACTGCAAAAAGGAAGAATGTGATTTCAGAGATCAGCATTCCAGTCTAACATGTCTTAATTTGGGAGCAATGCAAACAACAATTTCCGTATTTGGATGTGATTCAGTTCTTCAAACATTACCTTTATCATGTAAATGTATGCGTTTTAATGCGTATCAACATGTGTATGCATACACATGCCTACATGTCTGTACATTTATATCTGCGGGCATATGAGTGTATTCCTTATAACCAAATTGATTGAGCTTTTCTTCCAAAACATCTTGACACTTGGTAGGCCTGCTTATCAGCAAGTTGACTCAACCGAGTCCAGGTATGGGTCGGATCCAGGTCCACTTGATCTAAACCTGACAGGAACCAGCTACGGCCTCCCTAGTTAGATCAGGGTTGACCTAATCCAACCCGACCAGCGATATGGTACGTATAACATCTTGTAGCAATACAATGGATATAATATAATTGGATGCAACCCAACCTGATCTCTCTCTCTCTCTCTCTCTCTCGTATGGTTATGGTGCGCCGATGCTCACTGAACCATATAGGCCAGACCCAGAAATCAGCAAAAGAGAAGAGCAGGGTGTACGAGGGGATGACTCTCTCTCTCTCTCAGAGAGGTGAAAGAACAATATCAGCTCAAGGGCCACAAAGGCTAGTGTGAAGCCAATAATGATCACATCCTTGCCTCTTCTCTTGAGGAAGTCAACTAGATATCAATACAAGATTGTTCTTGCAGCGTTGATGCCAAACTCAATGAGCTCCATCTTCATCCTATATCGCTTAATGGTGTCGAGAACCTACAATACAAAAAGTAGATTAAACACAAAGTAAGGGGTGATGAAACCTTTTATGAGTTTTAATCAATCTGAGATGCTACATTCACAGCTAAGGTATTTCAAACACTCTTGTTATTGGCTTAAAACGAAACAACAGAAGGAAAAATAAAAAATGGATAGTGTGCGTTTGTTTGGGAGGTCGTTGGAAAGACACTATAGGTATCAAAAGAGTTCTAGTCACAGTTCATTATAGTAGGAAGAGAAAGTGGTAAGAATATTCTCATGGAGAAGGCTAGGATCGAAGTTTGGAATCCTAGAACAAGAAAGAATAAATCAAAGAGATACAGGCTGGAAAAACTATCAAGCGGAGGACAAAACTTTTGAGTTTCTGACAAGACTGTAGCAGGCGAGGAGCTCCAAAGTTTCAAAAGCGCAAGTCCACTCCCCTTTCGTTGCTCTGTCCCTCCACTCTTA